CCAACCTCAACCTCCCCTGGGCAACTTGAGGCCCTTTCCTCTTGTCCCATCCCTTGTTCCTGGGGAGCAGAGCCCGACCCCCCTGGCTCCAACCTCCTCTCAGCAGCTGCAGAGCCAGCAGGTCTCCCCTCACCTCCTGCTCTCCAGGCTGGACACCCCCAGCTCCCTCAGCTGCTCCTGCTCACACTTGTGCTCCAGCCCCTTCCCCAGCCCCGTTGCCCTTCCCTGGACACGCTCCAGCCCCTCCATGTCCTTCTTGTCCTGAGGGGCCCAGACCTGCCCCCAGGATTCCAGGTGTCCCCTCCCCAGTGCCCAGCACAGGGGGACAATCCCTGCCCTGCTCCTGTGGCCACCCCAGTGCTGACACCAGCCAGGATGCTGGTGGCCTCCTTGGCCACCTGGGCACCCCGTGTAGAGCTCACCGTCTGCTCAGGGTTGTGGTTGGGGGTGAGCTGGGCATGAGGACTCCCCCCCTAGGTGCTCCATCCCACGGGTGGTCGCCTGCCCACGGGGGACGCTGGGTCTGTACTCACCCACCAGCAGGGCAGTGTAGGTGTGCTGGGGGTCGAAGGGACACTGGCCCTTCCCGTCCAGGAAGGGTTGTCCTCTGCCACTGGACACCAGTGTGAAGTTCTCCAGGTGCTGTGGAGAAAGCAGAGAAAAAAAGTCAGGCAGTGGAGATAAAACCAACCCCCAAATCTGCAAGAATCATAAAACGGTTGTGGAATGATGGAAGGATTGGGTTGGAAGGACCTCAAAGCTCATCAAGTCCCTCCTCCTGCATGGGCAGGGACACCTCCCACCAGCCCAGGCTGCTCCAAGCCCCATCCAACCTGCCCTTCAACACCCCCAGGGATGGGGCAGCCACAGCTTCCCTGGGCAACCTGGCCCAGGCTCTCCCCACCCTCACACTCCACAATTCCCTCCTCAGCTCCAACCTCCAGCTCCCTCTCCCACTTTTCATCCCTCCCCCTCATCCCATCCCTCCCTGCCCTTGGCCCAAGTCCCTCCCCAGCTTTCCTGGAGCCCCTTCAGGCCCTGGAAGCTGCTCTAAGGTCTCCTTGGAGACTTCTCTTCTCCAGAAATGGCTCTGGGCTCCCCCTGGGCTGTGAGAAAGCTGTGGCGCCCACCACGTTCTCAGCAAGTTGGGAAACCGAGGCAGGACAGGCTATCTGGGGTCACCTGAGGGAACTGGGACCCAAAATCAAGGGTTGAGCACCCACATCAGACCCTTTGGGTGAAAACGTGGGCTCCTCCAGTGCACGGAGCACCAGGAGGCACCCGAGGGGACACCCCGTGAGGTCACATCCCCCGTCCCACTGGGGCTCCTGGGGATGGTGTTTTGTGTCTCCTGAAGGCCCTGTCCTTGCTGGGGGGGCAGGGGGACCCTCACAATGTAGGTGCAGGCGGGGCTGAAGGCGTAGGTCCCACAGACGTAGAGGTGGGTCTGGTTCAGGGCCACGAGGACACGGATGAAGTTGAAACACTCAGTCTGTGGGGGGGACGGACAGGGAAGGAGCAGAGGTGAGGACTGAGTGTCCCCAAAGCTCCGTGGGACCCCCAGCACCCCCGCCCAGGCCCCCCTTCTGTCCCACCTCCTGGCTCTTCTTCTTAAAAGCACACTCTGAGGTTTTCTGGGCTGTGGGTCCCCACGTGATCTGAGGAGGGAAGGGAGAGAGTCTGAGTGGGGAAACTGAGGCAGGGCAGAGGGTGTGAGCCCCCCCCCCACACTCTGGTGTCCCCACCAGGG